CTGTGACATTAACTACATATTAAGTACCAGGTCTTTATGTTCCTTCAGTGGAAATGAGGTTAACCAGGATTCATTTAGAGTGAGGTCATGTGAAACATCAAGTCATATTAAAACAAAACGACAGACACCAACCCAAACAGATGGAAAATGGAAATCCAGTCAGTCAGTTATCTGACTCATATTGGAAAGAACTGTGGACCAGAGCTTAGTCGGGCGATATGGAGAAAATCTAATATCACTAGTATTGTCAGTATTGTGAGGATATTGTTGGGTTGACTATTGGTGCTTTCATAAAATATTTACACAAGGAGAGTTTTGATCATTAACCTTTAGTGGGTAAAGGCAAATAATAGGACAGTTAGAACAGTCTGTTAAGCTCATAAAATTACATAATGTTACTAGTGTTGACAAAAATATCAATTTATTGATACTTATCGATTCCAACTATTTAAAATGGTTTCAAAACTTAATTTCCGCAGTATCAATACACTAGTACCCATAGGGCATTTCTAAAACTTGTTTTCTGGCATCGGAGCTTCAGTGAGAAATATCCACAATTAAAGTTTTGGTGGGGTACGAGGGAAGAGAGACTTTCGGATACATCTGTTATCAGTCAGTGCACCAATGTGTACAATTACCCACTTTGTTAGCAAGCAGGGCGCAGTAACATTAGCCATAAAAGCTAGAAAAAATAATACTTTGTAAGATGGCTAAGCTGTTACCCACAGCTTTCAGGTGAGCTCGTTGTAGATTTGTAATATGCCAGTTTCCTTTGGCATATGTGGCACATGACTTTTTTCAGCGTGGGTTTTCTCCAGGTACTCCAGCTTTCTCCCACAGTCCAAAGACATGCAGGTTAAGTGGTGACTCTAAATTGGCCGTAGGTGAGCATGAATGATTGTCTGTCTCTTTGTGTCAGCCCTGTGATAGTCTGGCAGCCTGTCCAGGGTGTACCCCGCCTCTCTCCCAGTAGCCCTTTCTAAACAGGACTTGTGCAAATTTGCAGGAAAGCCCAATCAGTCATCTTTCAGCAATGGCAGTATAAAAGCAAAATAGGGGAGTGCGGCAAAATGCTGCCTGCCTACTTTTGTTTATACAGAATGCGCCTCTTTCGAGGCAATGGGGGGCGTGAGCAAGTAACAAAATGTGTGGCTCAGCGTGTAACATAAACAGTGACATACTCCGAGGGAAGCTGCAGCTGGTCAGTCCTTCGGCGATTCGGACAGCCCGTTCTTCACCGTCCCCGTCATCTAATGGTTAATGACAAGGAGGGCGTGCAATTCCTTGTCTCCCCAGTTGCACATCTTTACAGTGTCTGTCGGTTTGCGTTTCCTTCTTGCTACTAGCTGCTTGCTAATTCCTGCTATCAGCTATTTCCTGTTTATCCACCGCCAGTGGGTCGTGCATGCGGCGTCATCAACAGCTCCTCCCACAAGTCTTCAACAGCCCCTCCCGTGGCGGAAGGCCACCTCGTTCTGTTTAAACCAAAAAGGTTCCGCCAATATGATTAATCTATGAGGCGGAACATTGGGCACCTCGGATCAACTCGCCAATCTGGCTCTGTGTGTCTAAACGCTCGCAGCTTGCCAGCAAAACGGCCCAACATCCGCAGAAAATATGGCAGTGTAAAAGGGGCTAATGTCAGCTGGGATAGGCTCCAGCCCCCCACGTCCCCTAACAGGATAAGCAGGTTACAGAAAATGAATGAATGAATGACTGACTGAATGAATGAATGAATGAATGGACTGCTGGTGACTGATAAGTGAGTCATGGTTACAAAAATATCACATAATTTAAATATCCTTGTCTGAGAATATATCTATCTTTTACTAAAAACTTTTAATTGTCAATGTCATTTTTTTCCTGTGGTATTTAGAAAAGCATACTGAATATCAATAGTTTTCAAGCTACTGTATCAAAGTTAGAAATTCTAGTATCGAGATAACCTTACAACTTCGCTTTAAATGGCCCTCTGCCTTTCAAACCCCTTACAAAATTACGATATCCAAACGCTAAGACAATATCTAGTCTCATATTACGATATTGATTTAATATGTATACTGTCCAACACTAAGCAAAACAGCCAAATACTGAATAATGCATTCTGTCCCAGTATTATCTTTTATTACTGTGACTGACTGCATTCAACTGCACTTTCAACACTACACAGAGTACTGACTGATAAGTGTTTTCAGATCGTTATCTGTGGACAAAAGGCTTATCAGTCTGTCAACTAAAGCAAAGTGTAGGCCTTGTGTTTATATCTTGCTCCATGTCAATCTGTATTTTAACTGTAAGTCCAGAACTTGACTAAAGAAAAGAATATCAACCAAACATGAAATCAAGTCACATGTTGAGCAATCTGTCATTTATTTAGTAAATGAGATATTATCATATTTGTGCACCAATTTGCTGAGCTCCATTGTAATGCAACATAATTGCACTTTTTCCTTCTGGTGATGAGTCAGTGAGCAGGTTTTGACTTCAGATAGCCAAACCTGCTAAACAAGCCAGTAGCATGTGAGCCTCGCCAAGCAGTGAAATGCAACCCTGATCCCCATCTACACTTTGAATCTCTGCATAAAACATACACTGACCTGCTGGAATGTGCCAAAGACAGGAGTGAGCATGCAGCTGACTGGCACCTTGGCTGCCAGCCTCCAGCTGTGCTTTGAACTAGATGACTTGCTGACGCGACTTACAGTGCTGTCCTGCTGGCACCACCAAGGTGCTAAATCCTCATTAGACCTGACTTCATCCATAATGAGCTGAATAATTAGGGCCGGGCCATCTGTACAAGGCCGAGCTGGGCCACACAGTGTCACTCAGTCTGAGCATGAGCACACAGCAAGGTGACTGGAAGACTCCACCTCAGTCATAGAAGATTAAACTATGAACTACTTTTCAAGGTGTTTAAGCTGTTTGCCAGGTAGCCTAATAGGTTTTTAAATGACTTACATTGTGTAGGCCTATGTAATAAGAAGCAGGAGATTTTTCTCAGCGCACAAAGGATCATTCAGTTCCTAGTAATCCTTTGATTTAACTGGAAAGCTGGACACACTGACATAGTGCGTACTGCAACCTGAAGTATCTTAGAAGAGTACTCAACCAATGTACCATTGCATGGTTAGACAAAAAGATGCCGGATGTCGGTGCAAGAACCAGGCAGTGGGTCTAAGTCAGCCTGTGAATCATGTTCCTGTTGGACATTTCCTGCAACATATAATTTACATCCAATACCAATGTTCAGTGCCAGTACAGGAAGTGGGCTAGTGTGTTTGTGACTTCAACAGTGGAGGCCAAGGTTCACATCTCCGAACAACAGTCACTCAGTACATTTACATGCACAGTAAAGTCAAGCTAAAATTATAGCTGAACTAGGCCATTTAATTGGACTTCTGTCCTTGTCCCAGTATATAAGCATATCATGGTGAGTTCCAGCTCCTTCGTTCTGGCTGTCGTTTTGTGGTCCCTACGGGTAGGACAAAACGGTACAGAAATAGCTTCGTATCCACAGCAATTGTAATGCTGAATAGTAAGGCCACAAGGTGAACAGTCTTGTTCATATTAACTTTAGTTGGATCCATGGAGATGTTGAAGCACTTTCCTATGTTTATATATATTCATAAATATGACTGTAATGTTATTCTATTGTGTGATCGATTTGACTGTTACGTCTGTTGCGTGGCTGTTATTTTATATTAGGATTGCTGAATTCCGGTCTGCACAACAAATTCACCTTTGGGTACTAATAAAGAAACCTTGAACCTTGAACCTAATCTGGGTGTGTTAGTCGGACTTTGAGAAATTTGATTTAGTACAATTTCAGTCGGTTGGTCTTTACCTATCCTTAACCAAGTGGCTTTAGTTGGCAAAATATGAAAAAGCACTCCACTGATTTGGCATTGAAGTCTTACAAAATTGCCAGTCTCCTGATGGACCAAAAGAAAAAGAAAAACAGGATCTAAATTGATGCAGCAAAAACAGAGACATGGTCATTTCCACAAAGTCTTTTTCCTAACATCCTTATGTCCAAACTTCCAAACATCAAATTATTTGTTACAACCAAACCTCAAACCATCTTTAGGAAAACTTTAGTTGACGTGTACTTTGAGGTTTGGCCCATGTCCCATCCACAACCATGGAGAGGACGGGGTTTATGACCTGTACTGCAGCCAGCAGTCAATGATCCAGGCTGTAACTTTTGTAACAACAAATACGTTCTTGATCATGACAATCACAGCTTGAAAAATTAATTTTGAATTAATGTCCACTTACTAGCTTTTTTTGCCGCTTATGTGACGATAACTCTATCTCTATTACAACTCTATCCAATGACGAAGAACGTAAATGCGGTTGTAAGCTCTGTAATTTCTACAATACACAGTGAGTGCTTAAAAGGGAAGAATGAGAAGTCCCCAAGCATTATTTCCTCTTGCTAAGATAGAGCTATAGGTTCATCTTCAGCTTTCTAGAAAAATGCAAATGATTACTGTCACCACATAAATTAGTAATCTACACTTCATATTCAAATGTATCCTCCTGTATCAAAGAAGGATGAAGACTGGCAAGAAGTTTGGCAATTTGTTCATTAAATAAGCTTAACCTACATCAACGTGACAGATGTTTTATGCGACAATCCCAACTCAAAGTCCACTTACTGTTTTTATCCACATGGTCTTCATCATCTTGTGGTACTTCTTTTTGATGCCTAATTGTGTTTAAGTCAACAGAATGAGAAGTCTTTACAGAACTGACTGAAAGTCAGTAAGTGGACCTTGCCTTGGAATTGCTTTTGTAAAAACTCTAAAACTAAAATTGCCCTGACTACTTGAGGCCAAGAACGGACTTGCTTTATGACAACTGTTGAGTTTATGATCACTTTAGTGAATTTAGCTGTGAAGCAAGATAAGGTATCTTTTGGTATCACATATTTTATGTTGCTATATCATCTATAGCCTAAATGAGTAAAAGGTAAATCTGAGTAGCCCATCACTTACCACTGATTCCATCTCCTCTTTGGAAGTGAGGGGCGGACAGGTCGTCCATAGACCTCCTCAGAGATGATATCTTTCCCTCGGATGCTTTGTGTAAGTGGCTGTGATGGTGATCAGGACTACCGGCGCTTCCAGTGCTGGATGTACTACTACCATCCCCGACGTCCCGAACCGGCACCGAGCAGTTGAGGTTGCTAAGGCTGGACTGGCTGTCGATGGAGCTCCGGGAGCCGGCTCCGCTCCTGTCCTCATCCAACATGAGGACGATTTCCTTCAGCTCCAAATTCTCCGTCCTCAGCGCCTCCTGACTGCTCTCCAGCTCCGTCAGCTTCTGCTGGTACAGACCGACATCTTTCCACAGGACGCTGGCCGTGTAGCGGCCGAACCGCTGCCACTCCCGGGACACCTTCTTCCCCTTCTGTCGGTCATCGTCCAGAAAGCAGCACAGCTCCCGGAGCTCCTGGTTGTCGTCCTGCAGTTTCTGGTTGACCTCTTTGAGACTTCGGATCTCGTGGAGATGGACCTGCAGGCTCCGGTTCACGTCCTTCATCATGTTTCCGTGCTCTAGCATCAGGTCCATGTTGCGGCTCTCCAGCCGCCTCAGCCTCCGAATCAGATCCTCCTTCCCCAGCATCAGCAGCTCCTCGTCGGACAGCTGGCTCACGTTCACTGCGTCCATTTCTGCTCTGTCTCTAATGTTGTCCTAATAATCAGAGAGTCCTCTAGGACGCCTAAGTTATTATGAAAAGCAGATCCATGACAGGTAACACACCGGGCTACAGAGACACATCGGCTGGCCCAAATCAGGCTGCGCTGCCTTTACTTTAGCAAATGAGTTCCTCTGTAACACGGGAATATCCGGTTGTCTCACTTTCCCTAACATTAACGTTAGAAGTTCATCTCAGAGACGCGATGAGACGCTGTCTGAAGCCGGAGACTGGAGCCGGTCGGTCCTCGAAGTGAAGAAGCATGGGAGGAGACAGAGACAGTCAGCTTATCCCACTGTGCACAGGGTAACACAGTGTCCTCTACAGGCAGCACCACACACCTGCACAACTTGGAGAGCTGTCTACTCACTTGGAAAGCTCTCTTACTGTGTCCAGTTAAAATCCTCTGTATCCACTATGGCAGACTGGCACTGGTTGTAACCATGGGCGCATTATAATACACTGGGCCCCTGGGCACAGATGTGCAAAAGGCCCCACCACCTCTCCTACACAGGAGGGAGACACACAGACTGTGGTGGTTTTGCTTCTTTTATTGTTGTTCTGTGTTAAGCATCTTTTTGTGTGTGTGGTCATTTTGTCCCCCATCATGGTTGTTATGTGACTCTGTTAGATCTTGTGAGTCTTTCGGGTTATTTTGTGTGGTTTTTTGTAAGTTTGTAGTTATTGTTTGTCTCTTTTACAGTAGATCATTTTGTGTCTAATTGTAGTTATTTTGTGTCTCTTTTTGATCATTTTTGTCTTTTAGAGATTATTTTCTGTCTTTTGAGGTCATTTTCTGGTTATATGGTGACTCTTTAAGGAGATTTGTGAGTGTTTTAGGTCATATTGTGTTTCGCTGAGGTCATTTTTTTGTGTCCCCTTGTAGTCATTTTTGTCTCTCTGAGATCATTGTTGTCTCTTTGTAGTCATTTTGTGTCTCAGTAAGGTCATTTTGTGTGTTTTTGTAGCAATTTTGAGTCTCTGTAGTAATCTTATGTGTCATTGTGGTCATTTTGAGCTGGTTTGCAGTCATATTATTTGTCTCTTTTGGTGATTTTGTGACTCTTTGGAGACATTTTGTGCCTCCTTGCAGTCATATTGGGTCTGTTTGGGATCATTGTGGGTGTATTTGCAGTCATTTTGTGACTCTTTGAGGCTATTTTGTGGCTGTTTGAGAGCATTTGTATCTTTGAGGTGATTTTCTGTCTCTGAGATAATTGTGGCTCTTTGTACATATTTTGTGTCTGTTAGTAGTTAATCTGTGTCTATTTTACATTTATGTCACTTTGAGGTAATTTTCTGTGTCTCTGGGGTCATTTTGTGTGTCTTTGTAGTCATTTTTTGTCTCTCTGAAGTCATTGTTGTCGCTTTGAGGTCATTTTCTGTCTGTTTATAGTAGTTTTGTGTCTCTTTGTAGTCATTTGTCTCTCTGGGGTCATTTTGTGTCTATTTGCATTCATTTTCTGTCTTTCTGTAGTCATATTGTGTCTTTTTATGTTTGTATGGTATCTCTTTGTAGTTATTTTTTGTCTCTTTGCAGTTGTTTGGCATCTCTTTGTTGTTTTATTGTGTCTCTTTGTGGTCTTTTTGAGTTAATTTTACAGGTGAATGAATGAATGAATGCTTGTTTACAAATCTCTTTCCTGTAAAATCTAACCATGTTGATCCACTAATTAACAGTAGCTTACTTTGTTTTTGAGTTG